CGGCTCATTGATTATGATGATGTTTACTCATGCTTTACAATATCTGTTTAAAAAATCATTTGCTGATATTTTGTAAGTACATCACTTCAAAACACTTTACACATATTTAGGTAATTATTTATTGTAGTGTTTGTAAGTGTCAGGACAAGGTGAAAATTAAGAAAACAATGTTTGAAAAAATTTACGGAAAAAGTTTTGGAACTGGAAAATTGTTACGGAAAATATATTGATACACCCGTACGAAACCGGGGTAGGTAACTAGTTATATATATTAAATAGTGTGCCGGTGTAACATTTATTTTTTCAAAAAAATTAACTGAAAGTTATAGTTTTAAAATTACTTCAACAATTTAAAAAGTTACGTAACATCCCTTATTGTAATAAATGAATCTGCAATATTAATAAAATCATCTAATACACTTACAATTATCTAAGCTATACAAGTTGACCAACAAACAGTAATGTGTAATCTTATAACAAAACTCACAAAATAAAATAAACTACAAATTACACTAGCCGCCCCTGTTTTTGTAACGACGTGGTCACAATAAAGTTCAGCGCGGTGCGGTCATGCGTACAGGCTGGCGCAGTAGTACCTAAGCTGTACGTAACTTACGCTCAGATTGTTACAGGCGGAAATACTGTGTTGATATATATATACAATAAAGTGCAAGTCACACAGAAAGATAAACTAAGTGAATTTAACATCGTTTAGCTTAGCTCACTTAGTTTAGTGCATTTCCAACTATAGGATCAAGCAATGCTATGCAAGCTTAATTATCTGGGTTATATTGAAAATGTCTATACATCTGTAGTTATAAACGAAATATCTAGATATCTATTGACGTGTGTTCCGAGCTGTAACTCCCACGCAAAGAGTAACAGTAAGCTTATTTGGCATTACCGGATTAACTAACTCACTGTTATACAGGTCAATTAGTCCGCTTATTTTAGCTCTGTAATTTACTGTATGAATAAAAGTATAAATAATAAATAAATATCACCGAACATTATGTCCAGTGGTATTTACTTTAATGTATAAAAAGTTACGATCGCTAAATTCGCATTAACTTAGCGCTCAGTGTGACGTGCACTTTACGTTTGCAGCCAATGTGGCTGGGGTTGGCTGAACTAATAATAAATTAAGTGAAACATACGAGCCTTATTGCTCTAACAGAGATATTAGTAATTCTCTATACGTATTTACTAACTGGTAGGGTTGCCACAAGGACAAGGTTCTTTTGTTTGCTGTAAACAACAACAGAGTATCTATTGGGATAGGTAGTAAAATATTATTATCTAATATTATACCTATAGAAACTGTATATTCCCCTTGGAACTCGTCCAATTCTATAAATATATACGTGCTCTAGATATTTATTTTTTATTCATTTCTTATATTTCGATTTGAAAAGTTAGATTCGACAGTAAAGTTACAAGATACGGAGGCATCCAACCATGAGGAGTGCCATTTGCGTAACAGTATTATCTCATGTTCACCATTCTGGTCGTGTCTGTATGCAATATTTATTCTTTTCCATTACTAGTTATTTAATTAAAATTATTTTATTTAATTCCGCTACTATCAGAAGTTCTACAACTAGCTAGAGAGGGAATATGGAAGGTTGGGGGGGAAAAGATTGTTAGTAATGCGAACTACCAGTCCCACTGCTAACAATGTAGTGTACATTATTAAATCAGGTCGACCTCCTCGTGGTCTTCCTGAAAACTATCGTGCTGAATTCCAGGTGTATTCATCATGACGGATTAACTGACCTGCTCTTTCATTCTCTCTTATCATCTCTCTCTGGTACCTTTTCAGCGTATACCGTTTTTTTTGGGGGGGATAATGGAATGGTAACCCCACCCACGCTATCGGTATACACCGGCGGGGCACTAGTGATGGATGATAGGTAAGGATGATGCAGGTCAGTTAGCCCATCGTGATGAATTTAGCAAAAATTGTTCACGATGGTTTCCAGGGGGAACCACGTGAAGGTCGACCTAATAGGGCATATTGTTAGCAATGGAGCTGTCAAACTCCATTACTAACAATCCCTTTTCCCCCGCGTATACCGTTAGCGCAGACGAGGTTACCATTGTATTATCATCCATTACAAAAATATTGAAGGTTATATATATAAACCATCGTATTTTTTGTGGGACAATATATACTCATTAATTTTTGGAGCGAACACAAGAATCTTCGATTGGCCATAAGTATAACTCGAGTTCAAGTTGACACTTGACGTTCGAGAGCTGAGATTATCTCGCGAACACTGAACAAAAAGTTATATAGGTATACCTAGGAATATATAGATGTAATAGACTTTATCTTATTAATATTTTAAACGTGAAACTTTGTTATTTAAACGTGTTTATAAAATTATCACAAGCAATACTGATTACTATGTCTATCTACTGCTCATGTTTATAGGCGACGGTTACCAAGTGGGCCGTCAGCTTGTTTGCCATTTTAAGTTGCATTAAAAAATATGGCGGTGCCTTGTACTCTGTGACTTATCAGTATATATTGTTGTGTATATGCATATGTGTGCATAGTGACGGCCATATGTATAATTGAAAAAAGAATATAAAACAGATTCATACACAGAGTGAAATTGTGTATTTTATTTATCTAATTATTTCTATAAAAACCATTAACTATGACCACTACTACTGAAATACTAAGAACAACGTCAACTCCGAAATCTTTGGTTAACTATATAAAAATATGTGCTTGAAAGGATTAGAATGTTCTTGCAATAAGTAGTATTTTATAATAATAGAATATAGAACAATAAATTCAAGTTTAATGCAGTAATATAAAATACATACATAAAGGTACAAAAGGCGGTATTTTTGCTAGGATTATTATAATCATTATGGATCCCGGAGTCTGACAAAATTCTCATTTATATGTGTACCCTGATAGGAAACGTTAAAAAAGGATATAACTATCATCTCGTTATCTACATAAACCTAAATTTCTAGATCAGATTCAAGTTTACCATGAATGTACGCCAAATGTTACGTTATATAATAATGCCTACTAAAAACTTCATTATCAGGGACGCTACACGCACGGAAGCTCTGCGTTAAGCGAAAGGGACACATTTGTTTTGGTGAAACTGAAATTGTACTTAATATCCTACCCCTATGCAACCATTACACGTACGTTTATATAAAGTTGGTATTAATAATTTAAGGTTTTGCTGCGCAAAAAGAAAACAGCATCTTCTATATCACATCGGCGCTATCGTAATAAAACGAGTATCAAACCAACATGGGAAGTTATATGTTGCCAAAATAATTATTAAAATTGATTCACAATTCACCAAGGTACCGTGTAAGATACATTGTTCACTCATCATTCATTTGTGGCTCATCATCATAGGCTGTGGTGTCCTACATTTGGGCAAAAGTCATCCTAAACTGCATAGTCAGAATGTAACGTTATGCTAAAACTAAGACGCAGATTCTGTATTTCACATTAAAACTTCACATAATTCCTTTTCTAAATTAGCATCTGCAAAGTGAGGAATTTATGATCATGTAACCTCTTCTATATATACATATATATTCGGGTATAATAAACAGGTACAATCAAAGTACCAGAAGGAGACTTTGTACAAAAGTCGTTTGCTTGGGTACCTCTGTCCCATTCGTGTTTCAACCGTGAAGCAGTTGTGTTTGCATGGCTGTGTTTCGGTTTGAAGGGTGGGATATGGCGGAATTTACAGGGTACAGAGGAATAACATCTGAGTCCTCAGAAATTGCAACGCATAGGCGATATCATGGCCGAAACAGTATACTCTGTTATGCCTATGGTACTGCTCATGTCTATAGGCGACGATTACCACTTTCCATCAGGTGGGCTGTCAGCTTGTTTGCCATTCTAAGTAGTATAAAAAAAGTGTTGTTTTTTATTTAAAAGAAAAAATAAATAAACTGAACAGAGATCTTTAATTATTAATAAATTATAATATTTTGGATGTAAAACACATTGAACATGGGGAACGTACCCAGATTGACGTAAACCCGAATACTAATGCACAAAACCGATATTATTGAATAAATTTTAATGCGGTTTATATTCATTAAAGGCTGGATAATTGGAACCGCTCTGGCTATATTTACTTCATTAAAATTTGTTAATTGGAGCAACAATTTTCAAATTTAGAATTTATTTCTTGTTTATATGGAATAAAATCTCTGCCGTAGTATAATAATTTCCATCATTGCACGGTACAAACGGCCGCAACTCGACGCACCTGAATGAAGTTATAATTTCCCCACGGAGGCCGGCGTCGTTAAAAACATATTTATCAAGTTAAATTCGTGTGCGTATTGGCAGCTTAATCTCGGTAATGACTCGAATTTCGTGCGTATCCAATGAAAATCTTTTCAGATACAAATCACGATTGGTGAACTAATCTCCGACTGCGGCGGTTTCGACTTTTTTTTTTAAAGGAAATCTAAAAGTAGATGTAAATGAAATTGTAACTTCACACGAGCTATGAATGAATAGAAACGGTAGGGGTCGCCCTAGATAAACGCATGTCGAGCGAATAGGTGTCCTGCTGAAAAAGGATAAATTAAAAGTACCTACTCGTAACCGGCGAGCTTGTATGAATAGAATGATGAATGTGAGAGGAAGCGAAAGATGCATGTTTGATGATATGGCATTCCATTATCTCTACCTACCCCAATTGGAGACAGGCGTGACATAAGTGTGTCGACATATCATTATTTATTTTTCATTCATAATCGCCTTGACTAACCCCGATTTAAGGACATCAAAGCCAGCAAACAGCTTATTGCGCGTGGCAATATAATTATTTATTATTAAATTTATAGATGTGTCATTTCTTCCCAATATTTTTATACCTTTGCTTGTATATATTTCAAGGTGTTCTAATTCACTCTAACCTATCTAGCTAGTTAATTAATACTAGCTAATTTTTGAGATGTATTGACTGCATTTTCAATGTTTACAGGCGCAATCCCAATGGTGACGGCTACCGTATATTGTGCGCCTACGCCGCTGAGGTACACCGCTCTAGCAGTTTACTGCCTCGGCAGCCTGATCGGCCTATATAAGGTAATGGTACAGACAAAATAATAAATAAATATTATCACGACTATAATCCCTAGGTGCTTTAAATACCCTGCTGCCGGTGACTGGGAAGTTTGCTAGTCGCGAGCCTCAGTCACTGACGGGTAGGCACCGTGAGGAATACCGGGGTGTATTTAGTGGGTAAAAATCCCACAGTACCCATTCGTCGTCCCGCCGGCGGATGGGTCTCTTTGGAAGATTTTCACCCTAGTTAAAAAAAAGGTGCTTTAAATACCCTAATATTCAAAGCCATTTGGATACTTTATCTGAATAGTTTAAAATTGTTTTAATTTAATATTGTTTATTACGTTGTACCGTCAATTACATTTTCTGTTATTCCTGTCTACGGTCGACTAGTAGATAATCCCATATGGTGTTAAGTCATTCATTTACACTTACTAAGTGTATTAAAGTTTAAGTAAATATAAAAATAACTTTCATACAATATATTAAAATTTTGTTTTAATCATGTGAATTATAAAAATGTCTCCATGACGATAAAGGCCTCTGCTTGTAGGTATCCGACTACAACTTAGATACTTTCCAGTTATCCGATTACATCTTTTTGTGTCCTCCAATGAATCAGACGACAGTTTTATGTGCTCTCTAAGGCATGAATATTGCTGAAATCTGTATGATATTTTCTAAATACACAGGCGATGCGAGCATGGTCACCCTGGGAGCGACGGCTGTGCTTCGCAGCGCCGTTCTGTATGCGAGTGCTGCTAGCGGGCGCCCGCGCTGCCCGCCTCGGGGGCGGCGACCCGCATGCAATACTGCACGTCTTCCTCCAGGTCAGTCATACTAAAAGAACAATCAGCAATTAGTCGATTAATAAAAATTGGAAGGCAAGGTGGGTAATAAGTGTCAAAACACTCATTACCTATCCTGTAAAGTACGTAAGTAAAGAGAAATAATAAAAGAAAATCTCTTAAAAATTAAGCTAAAAAAGAATAACTAAAACTATGTATATCAGCCGTTAACTGTCCACTGCTGGACATAGGCCTTCCCCATAAGGGGAGCTATGCTAGTAGTTGCTACGCTTAGCAGGCGAGTTGGCAACTACAGTAAGACTTTGGTGATGTTTAAAAAGGGACTCTGCTGCCAATCTCTCAACCATTAAGTTCTCTTATTGGACACTTACGACACCCACGAGAATGGAAGGAGTGCCCTATTTTATGCGGGGATCACACGATGAACTATAACTATTTATTTAATTATACAGCTTTATGTAGATATCTTATTTCCCGTTTATATTCAGTCTTCTTCCATGTGGCCCAGGCATAAAATAGACCACTCCTTGCTTTCCCGTGAGTATCGTAAGAAGCGAATAAGGGAGGGCAAGGGATGGACAGCAGCGTCCCTCTTAAAACATCTCCAAAGCTTAACTGTGGTTGTCAATGCGCCTGCCAAGCGTGACAACTAGTGGCAAAATCCAAAAGGGAGGCTTCTGTTCAGCAATGGACTATTAAGAGCTGATATAATAATGATGATAATTCAATCTTACTTGTGAATAGTGTTTTTTAAAAATCTCAAATGCACAAATAACAATTATGTTGGCAACTCTCCAAATTAATAAAACAAATGCAAAGGAAAATGCGTTAAAATGTACTGTAAGTAGTGGTCTTAGTAAAGTGCTGTAAGAACACTGTCAAAACACAACCGGCTACAGAATTTACAGATTAAAAACTTGAAAACTGTAAGTTACCGTACACATGAACAATGTTACAAGTCTGAGTTGGCGACCTGCCTAACGAGCACGAACTAGATGCCAGCAGCAAAGCACTTGGACGCCTACAGTACAATAACCATAAACCTTTAGTACACTGCTGGTAACTCACATTGTTTTAGTTTATAACATTTAGAGTTACCAGCACTAACTAAATAACTTAATGACTAACTAAATTACTATTTTATTATACTCTTACAAATAAGTACAGTAACTGTTATTCATATGAAAATTATTCATGATCAATCGTAAACGCCATGTTGCAATTTCAATCTAACTATTTAGTAATAATCGTATTTATTAGGCAGTAAACATCGTTAATAGCCTAATAAATAAAACATAGTATGCTCGCCCTTGGTACTAGAAGTGTTATATTATTTGTACCCTTGCATTATTTTCAAATGTGATTGAAATAAATGTACGCAAGTCGTATGCGTTACGATCATCATATAGCACTATGTATATGTATATAATCTTTTTCATACTGCAATAATAAACCAATTATTTTGATTTCAGAACTACTGAATTTATTTAAATAAAATTTCTATAAGACCGATCTGTAAGTATATCTTTTCAAATAAATTTTTTTTTTTCAAATACAATTTAGAATTGACGGATTTATGAGCTAACAAACATAAAAAGAATAATTAAAAATCTACTTTTTGTTGTCAGTCGAAAACAGTACAAACTTCCTGTTATTTACTCTGTATTATTTAAAGACAAATCAAATACGTTCTTTTAATTATCAATCCCAAATTAATTTAATACGACATGATCTCTAATCTATTTTATTCTGAATTTCACTTTGAAGTTTAAACAATAATACGTGCAGTTACATTTACATATATATATTTACCAGAGGGAGACTTTGTACAAAAGTCGATTGCTTGGGTACCTCTGTCCCATTCGTGTTTCAACCGTGAAGCAGTTGTGTTTGCATGGCTGTGTTTCGGTTTGAAGGGTGGGATATGGCGTGAATTTACTGGGTACAGAGGAATAACACCTGAGTCCTCAGGAATGGCAACGCATGGGGGGTATCATGGGTGAAACAGTATAGTCTGTTATGTTCATGGTACTGCTCATATCTATAGGCGACGGTTACCACTTTCCATCAGGTGGGCCGTCAGCTTGTTTGCCATTCTAAGTTGTATAAAAAAAAAAACTAAAATACCATTTGCACAGTCCTGACTATTAACGAACTGTTATACCCTAGCCCTGTACGGGTTAGTGCTGCGTTGGCGCTCTAACCCACCTTGGTCAGCATTTCTGCTTCCCTTGACGAGCAATGGCCATTTTTAAGTCAGTCTGTCTCGAGCTTTCAAAGCGAACGGTTGCCTAAGGACATACAAACTTATTTTGTCCTAAGTCCTTTATTTTAATATATCGTGTGTGTAAACCATTCCTTTTTTTTTAAAAAACCCAATTGAGGTAATCCGTATAACATTTTTGGTGGCAGCGGTGGGATCCGGAAATTCCAGTAGCCAGGCACCGTTCAACAGACTCTTTCTCTGGATCCTACATCTTAATGAACTATAGTGTCCTAATTATAACTGTACTTTGTGTTGGTGAATAAGTGTGAATTCTAAACCACGAATAAGTTCCTAACTACGCAGCGTGTTCAATTCCCGATTCGCAGAAGAAGAAACTTCTATCCTACTTCGTGCTGCTCATCGTGGTATCCTGTTCCTGAAGAAAAATCCATTGATCAGATCATCTTAATTCGACAACTGGAAGTAATAATTGGCGACGTGACCTTATCGCATCGGAATGCAGCCAGCCGCCGTCGTAGCGTTCTTATCGGCCGCCTACGTATTCTTCGTATAGTAAGTCTTTGGTCATTGTTTATCTTAACTCAATATTTAGGGTTCTGTGAGGCATTTAGTTTATATCAATACATTTATTTTATGTACCAATTTTATTGTTATTACAATTTTTAATTTTAACCAGTTTATGACCTACTCTGTAACTACATCCTTAATTTAAGTATTATGCCAAAATTTCCTAAGGTTGAAGAAAATACATTAACTATTGATACTGCCGCAGTAGATCAAGATATTAGCAATACATTAGTGAAGTCACCACTTTCTTCTCCTCGTATTACTAGAAAGGCAGCAGCAGCTCTAGCTATGGCCGAATTAGAACTTAGCATTCTATTTAAATTTATCAAGTCTTACAATGGCGACAGGGAAACTCTAAATTCATTCTTAGTAAACTGTGATAACGCTTTTGATTTAGCTACAGAATCTCAAAACCTATCCTATTTAAATTTATTCTTAGCCAATTGAACGGGAAAGCGGAGGTTGCTTGTTCTATTAAAGATTTTACATCATGGGAACAACTCAAGGAATTCCTAAAAACCCAATTCAGTGAACGTAAACACTATTCGCACCTTCTCACTGAACTCCAAGAGAGCAAGCAAGGCCCGCAAGATAATGTAAGCCAATATGCCCTTCGCGTAGAGACCTACCTCTCACAATTGTTGACCGAAATATCCTTGTCCAATACTAAAGTAAAAGAATTACCTGGCCGCACTGCAGCCATGGAGGATTTAGCTCTCCATCATTTCCTTATGGGGCTTCACCCCGAATTTCAAACATTGTGAGATGCAGATCTCCTAAAACATTGAATGAAGCTATCAATTTTGCCGTTTCCGAAGAGCGAATTCAACAAACACTGTACAGACGCCCACAACCAGAATCAAAACCTAATAACAGTAACGCCAACAAATTTAAACCAACACATTATAAATCAAGCAATACATCCCCATCTTCATACAAACCTTTTAACCCTGCATCGCAAGCAAGCTCTAGCCTATTTTGCCGATACTGTAAAATTCCCGGTCACGATATCTCCATGTGTAAGAAACGCGAATATAATAACAATCGTTTCAAAATCCCACAAAATCCTATATCTAGCCAAAATCCTTATGGGGCATCCCCACGTGTAAACTTCCTCGAAAACCAACCTAATGAAGACGCAGGCCGTGATGAAGTAGATACTTTAAACGAATAGATGTCTCGATTTGGCGTCGCGCGAGACAAAAGCCTAAAGTCGATGCCGTATTCAAACCTTCTACACTGCGGGACCACACGGGTAACCAGCCCCAAATAAGCGCCCATTCCATTAATCCACGGGACCACACGGGTAACCAGCCCCAAATAAGCGCCCATTCCATTAATCCAAGGGACCACACGGGTAACCAGCCCCAAATAAGCGCCCATTCCATTAATCCAAGGGACCACACGGGTAACCAGCCCCAAATAAGCGCCCATTCCATTAATCTACGGGACCACACGGGTAACCAGCCCCAAATAAGTGCCCATAATATTAATTCTCGGGACCAGGTAAACAACCAGTCTCGAACCGGCATCCAAGAAATATCTAAAGCTATTCCTTCTGATACTCATAATTTAGAGAATATCTCTAAGCGCAATGAGACCAATATCTATGAGGTAAACATAGATACATCAAAGAGAATGTTACCGCATGTGTTACTAGATTCACCAGTCTCAGATATCCCATTGTCCTTACTGGTCGATTCAGGCTCTGCTATATGTCTTCTAAAAGAATCCAGTATCCATAATAACCAAAAGATAATTAAAGAATCCATTAAACTTAAGGGTATAGATCCCGGCGACGAACCGACCCAAACAGTAGGTCATTTCCAACTCAAGCTCAATTTAAGTGATAACAAATTCGTGCCTTTTAAATTTCACGTCATCAGAGACATTAACCTACCCTATGATGGAATAATAGGGACCGACTTCCTGACCACTTTTGGTTGTAAAATCGATTATACTAACGATAGGTTGAAAATTGGTAAATTCGATATCAAATTACATTTTTCCGAACCCTTTTATGTAATTCCCCCTCGAACTGAAACCGTTATTGAATGTTCAATTAAGAAGACCAATCTTAAAGAAGGCATAGTTACCGATCAACACATTTCCGATAATATTCTGATATCTAACTGTATTGTTAAAATTAAAGACAACAATTGTGTTAATCTAACCATTGCAAATGTCTCAGAGTCTTTTATAAATATCAAAAAAAACCTAAACCTCA